CCGCGTCCAGGCGGGTCTGGAATATCTCCAGAGAAGGAGACTCCACAGCCTCCCTGGGCAGCCTGTTCAAGGGCTCCATCACCCTCAGAGCGAAGAAGTTTTTCCTCATGTTCAGCTGGAGCTTCCTGTGCTTCAGTTTGTGCCCATTGCCCCTTGTCCTGTTGCTGGGCACCACTGGAAAGAGTCTGGCCCTGTCCTCCTGACACCCACCCTTGAGATATTTAGGAGCATTTATAAGGTCCCCTCTCAGCCTTCAGGCTAAACAAGCCCAGCTCCCTCAGCCTTAATACTGTCATAGTGGAGTAACTTTTGCCTTGCCACTCTGTATGTCATAACTCCCCAGAACCCCTTCCCAATACTATATTTTTGCCTCCCAAGATGCAGAAAACTGGCCTTTATCAGGCTGTATCCAGACTTCTGAAGCTTTTTGAAGGCATGAAAGGTAGAGAAGAGATCCAAATTAACACTAAAAATAAATATATTTTTCAGGGAACTTGGAATGGGCCCATAATGAATGATCTTTGGCAGTGAAACAAAGGCAGGGGGTGGGAGTGAGGACCGCTGAGAATTAACAGATTAGTACAAATGAAAGTAGCAGTACTTCAGATGACAACTGGCAATGCTGACATCGCTTTCCACCACAGAGCTGGCTAACTTCAGGTTCTGCTCCTGTGATTTGCTATGCAGAGAAACACAGATTGTAGTGCTGCCTTCCTGCTCGCAGGTGAGGGTTTATTCGCCCTGGTGCTGTGAGCACGCTGCAGTCCAAATGCAGTCGACCCTGCGCTACCTCTGGACACAGGCTAATCAATCCTCCGGTCAGTGACAAAGCTCGAGGAGCCAACTTGGAAGCGGTGAAAAGAGTGGCTCAACAGAGAGCCTCTGCTTCTCACAAAATGAGTTGCTTTGGCTTGTCCCTAGTATGAGAAATCAGAACCCTTTGTAATCCCAAGGCCTGGTCAGCACAGGATTTGCTGCTCTTTTGGAAACTATTCACAGTTATGTTGTAGAATTTCTCAGTCTGCATCAAGTGTTCAAGGCATGAACTTACTGAAGCCTGAGGTAACGCCTTTGCCAAAAATTGAAGACTCTTCCAGCTGAGTCATACCAGCAGATAAAGCTTTAAAAACAAACAAAAAACAAAGGAAAAAAATAGCCACAGGGCCAAAAAAAAAAATACTGAGGAAGTTAAATCCCTGGTACTGCAAATAGGTCTGAAAGTTTGAACAGTTATGGTTCTTGGGTTTTCTGAGAAAGAGGGTTGGCATCTAGAAAGCTGGTCTGCTGTTGCTTTTCTTAGCTGAACTCCTCAAACTTGTCACTCAGTAGCTCTTTCGCCTCTTTTTTTTTTGCCCCCAGTGCTTTGGATATTGTATATTTTTAGCAGCTGTTTTGGGTGCTGCGTGGTGTTTGAGAGTTGATTTTGAACACACGCTGGCAGCATGAAGCACTGCCCACACAGATCAGTTCACGTTACACGGCTGTGACACGGTTTATGATTTAAACAGTTTTAAGGTGAGCCTTACGAGTCAGAAACTCGGCGCAAGTCCCTGAGGCTTACTCTTAGAGTTTATGTGCGCTGTGTAACTTGAGAGGTTTTTATCTAGACAACGTGGCTTTTCATTACCAAGCAGAAACTTCGCCTGCTGGGAAGGGGGGAGACTGGCACCATCACTGCTCAATAAAATTGTTACTCAGTCTTTTATTGCAGAGCTTTCGGCTGCCGGCCTGCGTGACTCTTTCTGTAGCATCTGCTGGGGAAGTTCCTTGCGGACAGTACTGGCTTAATAGCTGCCTTTGTAAGGTCTGAACAAGCTTACCTTTGAAGTGTTTAGTGAAAGCTGGATGATTATCCTCCCCTGGCAGGGTAAATGGACTGTTAAGGAGTTAAGACATTCTTGAGAAAGATACAGCCTTGATGTTGGCATACTGATGTATAAAAACTATGGTGTAGGAACACCTCTCGGTCTCTTAATTGCAGAATTAGCTTGTAGAATATCAAGGAGCAGCTTGCTAGCTCCTCAGATGGATTTATTCTAAAACGTGACTGATCCATTGCAAGGCGCTACAGACTTGTGCTGCGTTCCTCACTTTTGACTTGTCATAATTAAAGTTTTGTTTCGGGCTGGGTAAAGCTGTGCCGCTGCCCTTGCACCGCCATTTGAAAACCCTCCCCACCAACATGTGCCAGTAGGACCTGCTGGTTTTGAATGGTCTCAGGAGGGAAGATGACAGAAGCAAGTGCTGTGAACACGATGGAAGCTGATTAATAAGCACGTGGAAAAGTATTGGTGTTTGCTTACTAATGGGGTGTGCCAGGAACCTCCCCAGGCTGCTCCTCTGCCTGCAGGAACTGGTCGGGGGGAGGCTCCGGCTGCACATGGAGATCAGAGGGAGCTGCCGAGCATCGCCTGCTCTCTGCTGCCAGGGGTCTGAGGCAAGTTCAGGTGGCTCTAAGAGCTGTGGAGGAGCGAGAGGAGGCAGTGGTGGTGTGATGAAAAGGAGCCGTCTGGTAAACAGGGGTGGCCGCCAAGTCAGATGACTTGAGCAGGAGCACTAGAGCAGCCTTGGGGATAGCAGGACACCAGGCTGGCTAAGGAAGGAGATGAGTCAGGCAAGAGAGAACAAGAGCAACTGGTTGAGGAAAAGCAGGATGCAGTTGTGAAACAGGGAGCTGCCAGAAATACTGTTGGGTGACAGGTTCTTATTTGCTCTGGGACACGGTAATCTTTAGCTTGGATCATGAGGAGGAGACAAGGAAAACAAGGCAGGAATTTCTCGTTTGCAAGTTTCACCTTGCTTGAGAATCTACGCAAAACTGAATGTTGTTACGGCTTCAAGAAGGGGCTGCCTGTCCTGGGCACCAAGGAGAGTGATAGTTCCCTGCTCAGGAAAGAGTTGATAGCAGGAGATGCTGTTTCCCTTTGATCGATAGCGTGGAAGGAGAACTCGGTCTCATTGCCAGCTGTATAAAGGAATCTCCAGTCAGGATCTCAGAAGAATACATATCTTACTAGTGGGAAGTCCCTTGAGGAAGGTTGAGCTGCGGAAGTCTCAAGTAGTGAGTGCTTTATCTAGGATC